GGGGTACAATAAACTCTCCCACATTCTCATCCAAATGCAGCAGCCATTTCTAACTGACCAAATTCAGTTTAGTCTTCTCTTCTTCTTTCAACCTAGAAATAACTCCAGGTGGGGCACCGTATTACCCTCTGATAAGCCTCACTTGAGAAGCTGAGACAGGAAGATCAGAAGCTCTGGGTCATCCTAGGCTATACAGCATACTACAATTTATCTCCCAGTTTCAATGTATAGAGATCAAAGCTCCAGGTTCAGTCTCCAACATGATGAAAGAGCATAAGGTAAAACTTATTGTCTCTATGGAAACACTAGGAAGGACCTTGTAGATATCCTGACTTTTTTGCACACTAGTACATTATTGTGCCTGCTTTACAAGCAGACTTTCTGTATTAGAACCGCACCACAATCTATCAGATGTGGGACACTTAGCAGTGATCCAATACAGCCAAGCAGACACATCCATGGATAACTCTCTTCCCCTAATTGGCCCAGGAGCATTCATTGTATTTTGTTGTGACAGCTCTTTCATCTCCTTTGGTCCTGAAACTTCCTTTCTCATCTGTGACATTGACATTTATGGAGAGTCCAGATGAGATCATGGTTTTATCGGCCACTCACTTGGATCAGCCTGGCCCACTCCTGATCTATGTTTCCTTCTAAAATGCCTCTACCTTGCTGGCTAGAAACTCACCGAGTTCCAGTGTAGCAGTCATCATCCGCACAGTCTTGGCTGGGTTCGGTCACTTGATCAGGGGAGACATCCAAATGAGGAGGTCAGAAAGCTCAGAAGTACTCTTAAAATAATTTCCTTTCCCTAAAGTCATTACTTGTTTAATATTTTTAAAGTAATTATAACAAGCATTTATTAAACACCTACTTAGCATTAATGCTAGATAGTTCACATGATTTCATTGATCCTCATAGTCATCTTATATAATGGTTAATGTTATCATCTTTTTTAAAAAAAAATTTCCCCCAATCTGCTTTTATGCCATTTTAATTACATGCAAGTATTAAGATCAGTTCTAGGTTGAGGAACAAGCAATACAATAGATGCAAATAGTCAAGGAACAAGCAAGACAATAAACACAAATAGTCAAAGAACAAGCAAGGCAATAAACAAAGTCCCGTGATCACTGTTTCTAAGAGCTTATCAGGATGACCAAAATATCTGAGCCAACTTTCCTGTCCTAGCCCTAAGTCAGTTTTATGTCTGAAGCCTACTTCTTTGTTCTAGCCTAAGATTTAGATTCCTGTCTGAAACTACTTCTTTGTTCTAGCTTAAGATTTAGATTCCTGCCTGAAATTACTTCTTTCATGCTCATGGATTGGCAGGAACAGTTATTTTTGTTTTGTTTTGTTTTGTTTTGTTTTGACTAGTTGTTACAGTGAAATGTTAAATGATTGATGGATTGCTACAAAATGCAAATATAAAGAAAAGCTTTCAGTAAATTTTCTCTCTTGTAAACTGAGAAAAAGCCTTTTAAAATTGCAAATTTCTGCATCATTTGTTCATGAAGCAGAAAGACTTGGCCAGCTATTGCTCTGGGAAGACAGGTGCAAAGTCACTGACCTTCTTACACCTGGGATCTGTAATCTTCAACTCTGCATATCCCCCCTTCCCTCAAAGCTAGCACATCTACAGACCCAGGGAGGTCTCATTGACAAGCTTAGTGACAAGCTTTCCATAAAGAGAAAATTATCCCAACTAGAAATTGTCTGTCTGTGCTGCTCTTCTTCCTCTCTTGGCATGAAAATCTTTCTTTTTTGAAACTATTGTGAAAGTAGATACTCACTACATGCCAAGACAAGGTATGATGATTTTACACTGGCCTAAAATTTGCTTCCTCTGTTTGCTTACACTTTGGTTGCTGATACAGTAAGTCAGTTGGTTGGGCCATCCATCCTGTTGGTTGCTGTGAAATACAAAAATCCATCAGGGTCTCTGACTTCAGGGAAAGAACCCTATTGGGAAAGAGAAGGCAGACTTGACTTTAAGGCCTGAGCCTTGAAGAACTGCTACAGAACTGTCACTACCAGAATAACTCCAGCAAGTTATTCTGGCCTGATGTAGGTGCAGGCAGGCAGCTCTTTATGTATGAAATCAAATGACTACTGATATTCCACTCACCTACTGGTACTTCCCTGTATGAAAACCTCCTCAGAGCTTTAAAGGCCTTGAAACAGAATGTGTTTGTCTCCCAGAATTTGAGCATAGGCTTAGGATCTAATGAGCATCCGGGAACCATGTTCTCTTGAATGTGAATGAATGAAGTGAAAACGGGTGCCTATCAACTTTAAATGCCAACAGGGTCCGGAGAGGAGGATGCACTTCAGGGTTAGCATTCTATTCAGCAAAGAACAAAGGAGGAGCTCCTTGCAGCATATGAAGTGTACTTTAAAATGCTTTCCCCGTTTTATTTAAAGGCCATGCCGAGCTCTCCTAGGTAATCTTGCTCACGTTTTCAAAAGAACAAAAAGGAAAGAAAGAAAAAAAAAACAGATCCTGGCAGCAGAGCAGGAAGCAGGAGAAAAGGAGAGAAGAAAATCAGCCCCTGCTTCTGCTTCTCCTGCTCATCAAATCATTTCAAGCTTCTGTGTTCCCTCAGTACCAACAACCTGTATTTATAAGTCAGGGCAGAGCCACGGAAAGATGGAGCGTTAGACTCACAAATAGTTTTAATCTATGGTTCCCGCTAGCTATACTTGTAGGCCCGAGTAAGTTATTTAATTGCTCTGGGCCTTGGTTTCTGTATCTGAAAGAATAAACATGATAACTTGCTTCGTAGTGCTGTTAGGAGGTTTAAGTAATGAAGCAAATAACAAACGTGTGAGTGTTCCCCTCCTCCCCCATCTCATTCTTGGCAAAGCAATCCATAGGAAGAACAACAATATCAACCAACCAGACCTTCCAGAGTTCCTAGGGACCAAACCACCAACCAAAGAGTACACACGGTGGAACTCATGCCTCCAGCTGCATATGTAGCAGAGGATGGCCTTATTGGGCATCAATGGGAGGAGTGGCCCTTGGTCCTCTGAAGGCTCAATGCCCCAATGTAGAGAAATGCCATGGCAGGAAGGCGGAAGTGAGTGTGTGTGGGAGCACCCTCATAGAAGCAGGGGGAGGGAGGATAGGATAGGGGGTTTCCGGAGGAGAAACGGGAAAAGGGAATAACATTTGAAATTTAAATAAATAAAATCGCCAATAAAAAATGGGGAAAAAAAAGAAAAAGAAAAAGACACCTAATAAGTTAAAAAAAAAAGAAAGAAAACAAAAAAAGGAGTGTTATAGTTTTGGTTCTTGGCAGAATTGAAAGCAGCGAGAATCCAGGAAGACCATGGCTCTAATTTTGATTTCTGTGGAAAGGGAGAGATGCGTGGAGCGTGCTCACTCCTAACAGGGTTCTCCAACAATCTCCCTCTTCTCACCTCAATTTAACTCGGAAAATAGTGTCATGATAAACTGGCCGCACTTCAGAATCAAGCCTTGTTCCTAGTCCGGGGATGCCTTTCCAATGTAAGCTCAAATAAATGGAACTGGTGAGTGGGGGTAATAAAAATAACAGGGAAGGAAGCAAACGCCTCACGTCCAGAATCCACACGGCATCCTGTATAATGCATAGCACAATTTCCATACAGTTTCCATCTGAACACTCATAAGTTTAATATTCTCTGTTGATTACCTCAGGCTAACAAATCCTGTGAACTGCCTACTTTTTAAAAAGTCAATTTTCCAATGGGGGGGGGGGAGAGAGAGAGAGAGAGAGAGAATATATCATGCCATCGAGCAAACAGCAGTTAATATCAGGGTCATGTGATGGAGCTTCTCTATGGCTGTACACCTTACCCAGAGATGAAGTTCTATTAGAGAAAAATGTAACTCATCCCAACCTGTGGTAAAGCAAAGATTGCTTCAATTTGGGCTGTGTATACTTTGTTACAACTACCGGCAGTTATATTTTATATCACATTTCTGCTTTCATTATCACACACATCAAAAAAATTCTATACTACATTTTAATCGAGTAAGGAATTAACCAACATAATTTTCGGACATATTAACAAGAGATATAATGAGCCTTTTACAAATAGTTTCTTGGACCAGCACCAAAAGATTATACAAAGCAAACCCACTAATTGGCTGGTAGACAATATGCTACAAATAAATATTTGATGATAGGTGTACACAAGTTAGCAACCCCATGCAATCCCTTGTATTTGTTGAGCTTTTTAAAGATAACAGGTGTTGGGAATAGAGAGATAGACACTTTAGAAAAAAGCGTTTCCTTCTCTTGCAGAGGGCCAGAGTTCAGATCTCAGCCTTCATATCAGTCAGCACACAACTGCCAGTAACTCCAGATCCAGGGGATCTGGCTCCTTTTTCTGGCCCTTGCTGGCACTGATCTATATATATGCACACACGTGCACATCCACACACATATTCACGGCACTGGTCTATATACATGCACACACGTGCACATCCACACACACATTCACGGCACTGGTCTATATACATGCACACACGTGCACATCCACACACATATTCACGGCACTGGTCTATATACATGCACACACGTGCACATCCACACACATATTCACAGGAATCAATTTGTTCAAATACTTTTCTAAAAATGATAACAGGTGCTGTTTCATTGAATACCTCTAGAAACTCCAAGCAAGCTTTTGTTTATTGAAATTTCTTAGTCACAGACTTGATATGCTTAAGATTTGTAGTGTTGGCTGAAAGGTGGAGAGAACAACTGTATGCAAAAAAAAAAAATTCAAATGCCCTTGGAAACATTGTGCTTCCAAGTCACACACACACATAAATGGAAAATATCACTGCAATCTACCACAGGAGGAACAATGACAGATAGGAAGTCAATAGTGTAACCTTTAGGTTGGTGGCCGCTTGATGCATTTGGGGAATGATCTGCCTTTGACTGTAAATGGCAATAAACAACACAGATCCATCCTGTGCATGATTGGATGTCATTTTCCAGGTCTAATTCGTCTGCAAGAGCTCATCAAAGCTCCCTCCAGATACAACATTAAAATCAAAATCCGCCAGCTTCCCTCTGGGAATAAAGATGCCAAACCTCTGCTCAAGGAGATGAAGAAAGGAAAAGAGTTCTATGTGATATTTGATTGTTCGCATGAAACAGCTGCGGAAATTCTTAAGCAGGTAAGAGGTTTGGGGAGGGGGTAAAAAGGTAAGGAAATGCATTTCATCTTTCTTTTTAAAATGTCATTTGGATTTTATTTTCATCTGGTGGCAGCCTGGCACAGATACCATAGTACAGAGTGAGCCAAAGATGCATTTTCAGACCCCTTTTAAGGATCCAATGGTATGATTAGTTCAGAACCAACGGTGATGTAGTGCTTTGTATGTGCATTTGTTTGTATGGAGGAAAAGGTAGCAATATCTAGGTGAGGGAAAGATCTGCATTCTTTACCTCTTCTCCAAAAATCAAGCCACATTTCATGTGTGTAGTACCTGACTTACATAGCAAGACCCCTTTGGCCTAAGCTGCCAGATTCTCGTAAGGAAGGGCACAGAACAATCTCAGCCCACGAAAGATACTTTTCTTATGGACAATAAGCTACTTTGCCTACATCTCCAGAGGATGTGGGTAGAAATGAGAAATTATGAAATCTTTCACAGATGAAAGATGTCAGTAATATTCATAATAATGATAAAGCAACAACAATTGAGTTCCTATGTGGTTTGGTCTAACATTCAAGAAAGAAAATTCTGAACCCATAAAAGATAAAGCACTGATCCTCAGTGCAAAGTGACTCTCATTCTCAGGGACTTGTGGCAACAGCTGGATACAGTTGGGGCTGTCATACTTTAGATACTATAGTGCTATAGCCAAGACTATGGATTTGGGCTAGAACTACATCCAAAAAGTATATAGGTGCATCGAGAAATACTAATCAGAAGTGTCAAATAGAATCAGTAATTTAAAAAAATCAATGAATTAAATCAGGAGGAAGTCAGAAAAAAAACACATGTAGCCTTTATACTTAAGTAGATATGTCATATAAGCCAATGTCGTATCAATACTTTTAAATAACACACACTATATTAATTGTGCACCGTGGTTAAAAACTCCAGAGGTTGTTAATGATTGTCAATTTCAAGAGTGTACCAGCAAATATCCAATAAATGAGTGTTGTGGGTATTTGAGCCACTAGAAAGTTGTCTCTTAGTACAGTCATGTATGCTGGGGCTCCATGGTTCTACAGCCATACTTGTGGATAGCTTCAGCTATTGAGTTCCACATTAAAGCTATGATCGCATCAGAAGTGCATACTCAAGAAAGCCAACCATTTGTCTGTATTATCCACTGCATGGTTGTACTAAACTATTCTACAGTTTGGATACAGGTTTATTGCTCTCTGTTTTGTGTGTTGTAAGCTTGGCCCTCCATGTGGTGTGTCTGAAGTAACGTAAACTTTAAGAAGAGGAATCTAGTGCAACATGGTTAGGCAATTGGGTGCTGACCTCAGGAAGGATTCATATAGTTCTTCTGGAACTGTGCTTAGTTCCTTTCCAAACATGAGCTATATAAAAAAGAACATCACTGGCCTTGGCTTCCTTGCCTTCCTCTCTCATCATGTGCCCCCTGTGTTGTGATGATATCTTCCAAGAAGCCTTCACCAGACTTCAAACAGATGGAGCTGCCCAAGGATGGATTTCTGACTCCAAATCTATGTACTGAATAAATCTCTTTCATTGAAAGCATCTAGCCATAGATGTTCATTGTGGCAACAGAAAGCAAAGTAATACAATCATAGAATATATGTAAGCTCACAGTGGAGTCACTCAGAGTTATTGCAAAAGACAAAAGGCGTCTCATCCCTGTTGCTTCTTTCCCCTTCATCAGCTTTGCCTCTCCAATTAGGTAGAATTTCTGTAACTCATTTCTGGGCAGTAACTCATTAATAGACATTTAAATATTATAATAAGAACTTTTCACTTAAAAGCAACTATGTTGAAAAGGTATCAGTAATTGAAGAACTTTAAAGGTAAATAAATCAACCATCAGTCTTATCTTAAGGTTCCATTGACACATCTTACTACAGGTGATTAAAGTATGCAACTGAGTGTAGATCAGGGCAGAAAAAAAATCCAGATTTTAGGTTCAGTTCTCAAGATGCAAAGAAACAAGTCTTCCCCCAGCAGCTTACAGGTGGGCCTGGAGACTTGTGTTACATTCAAGAGAATGATTTTCTAATGTGATTTACATGGTATACCATCTGACTCACACAATTAGTCACATGCTTCCCAAAAGATACAGCTGGAATAAACAGAAAAGGACTATGGATAATTCTGGGTCTGAGACTTTTCTTTCTTTCTTAATACATGTAATGACAAACTTTAATGATCCTTTCTTAGGAGGAATTGTTTCTAATCAATTATGGATTATCTCTTTTTTATTCTACTTTCATATATTTAGATACTAACTGTTGTTTCCCCTACCTTTCCTCCTCTCGGTAACCCCCACCAACTCCCCTTTTCCCCAGATCCACTGTTCCTCCATTTACCTTCAAAAAAAAAAAAAAAAAAAAGAGCAGGCCTCCCAGGGATATCAACCAAACACCTAGAACCTATTATATTGAATACTCAGGGTTGGCTATTCTGGTAAAATAATACCAAAGCAATTTACGTAGTTCTCTTTAAGTGACTCCATTAGCTTTGGGCATTGACCTATAAAGAGCATGGCAGGTACCTTGTCTCAGGGAAGGGGGAACTTGGGAGTCGAGATGCTGATTCTGGTTGAATCATGAAAAGAAAAAAAGGAGGGGGGGAGGGAATAAAGGAGGATGATGTCCTTGACACTTGATGCTGATTCTGGTGCCTGGTTTCTTGTACTTTCATGACCTCCATTCTGAGGTCAGTTTGGCAGGCTTACTTAAGAATGGGAGAAGCTGAAGCTCTGCTAGGTAAATAGACCCATACACATGGCTCCTGACTTTGTTTAGCCAGGCTGCCAAACAGTCTCTGCAGGCAGACGGATGTCAGAGGCTATGAAATCACATTATCATGAAGGACTCTCTTTTGCAATAGACAGCAGCCATTCTGAAGCAAGTTGCTAAAATTGTCTAGGAAAAACACATTCACTTGCTTCTGTTCTTCATATGAAGTTGGTATTAATAACTTTCCCCTTTAGTGTTTGAACACCACCACTGAGCACATTCTCCTGGATAAATCTGGCATCCTCTCGCTGTTCCCATCACTACCCTGCTCTTCCCTCCTCTTCGTCACATTTTTCATTTGTTAATACTTCTTAAGAAAAATGGGATTAAATGCAGGTATTTGACATTTATCTGAAAGTTAAAAAAAATGAGGAGTCTATAGTTATTATTGGGCATGCTAATCACCAAGCCAAGTGATTATTTCTATTCATATTGGACAAGTACTATATGATGAGAATCTGAAAAGTTATTTCCCCCAAATTAGATCGAAATTCAAATGTCAAGACTTGATTAGACTAGAAAAGAGCACAGCTTTCTCATAAACATACTGTCTTGGCAAATTCCTGTAGTCACAGTTTCCCCCCAGCGACTGACAGGACATCTGGGTTCCTCTTCAAAAACTGCCGCCCCAACTTACTCATGAATCACTTTCCAGCAAGTGTCTTGATGTTTGAGAGTATGCTGGTTTTTTTTCCTCCCATCTACTGTGTCCCTTCCTTACTCCTCTGTCCCAAAGTTCTACTCCTCCCCAATGACCATTACACATATACACCCGTGACTGTTCCCTGCCCTAGGGGATGTCAGCTGATATCAGTCCATGAGGGCAACGGACGCAAAGAAAACGAATGGGAGTTTGGAAGCTCTGTGAGTGTGTAAGGTAAATGACCACACTGGGACCTGCTGCAGGGAGAAAAATTAACTTTACTTGGGCTGATTCGTAGCTTATATAATTTGGAGGACTGGGGGTAGGAACATCCAGAATGGCCAAAGCTCACTGGCTGATGACTTAGGATACAGAAATGTCTCGTTAGCGTGAGGAAGCACTTCATGAATCTCAGATATTAGCTGAATATGTTCTTTTCAAGAGAAAGAAAGATGATCCTGTAATCTAACTAAGGCTATACAACATTCTTCGAGTAGAGGTATGCATGGGGTTTTGTATTCCCCAGACACAGTCAAATAAGAAGAAGTCCTGCTAATAAAGGACTTCTTCCACCCTCGGCCCCAGAAAGCTATCTAGTCAATGGTGGACTTTGACCTTAATTAGCAGAGTTTTTCCACGTTTACCTTTTCTCATGGAGTTATTCTTTGAAGAAGTGCCAGACAGGAACAGAGTTTCTCCGATGAAGAGAAGGGTAGAAAGACTTTATTGTAGAACTCTCAACTCGAGCTTCATTCCAGGCTGGGATTTAAGTAACCATCTCATTTAATGTCCCTAGTACTCTGGCAGAATTAATAATATTTTTCTATTCCTATTGAAAGCTGAAATTTAGATATAATAATTTCATCTACAACATACATACATATAATATACATATATAATACATAATAGTATAATTATTACATATAAGATTTTTGTTATTATAGTGTATTAATATAATATCTGCAATATGCACATACATGTATAGATATAATGTATACATAGATATGATATCTTCAATATATCTATAATATCTACAATATGCATATATATGCATAGATATAATATATGCATAGATATAATATCTACAATATACATTATCTACAAGACACAACGCTAAGTTTTGAGAGACCAGAACCTGCATCTCTTTCTAGCGTTTCTATAAGACTGCAGTCTGCAGTGATCTACACACTTATGGAAGAAGTGATCTCCACACTTATCAGGAGGTCACCTTGATTCTTCTGTATTCCTTATTACAGAGTAAGCACCAGAGGGAAGGGGCCTTTTCTCTTTTTACTTAAATCCTCACTACCTCCTATATTATGTCACATAGTGGGTGCCTTGTGCAACTGTTGAATCAGAAATTCAGCACGAGGCACTGTGTTAGAAACACAATTACCTCCCTTCTACCTACCTGCAATGCTACACTCCTGTTAGGGAGACAGCTCACTGGTTCAATGTTTAGCTAGCATGCACGGGACTCTAAGTTTAACCTTTTGCATTGGTACAGAGAAAAAAAAAAAGAGTGCATTGTATGCCAATAATGCTGTACTTTGAAC